ATGCTGCCCGCAGCTGATGCTACATTAGACATGGGCACTCATCAATTAGGGTCATTTGTCTGCTGTGAGCTAAGGAGAATGGGAAAGACCTGCTCAAGAGAGAATTAATTCATCCTTCTCTCTATACTTTCTTGAATACTCTTTGCAGATTCTCCAAGCCTGCAGGCCTTATACATATGTTCTAATGGGCTAATTGTTGAGGCGACATTTGTAAATTAATCTCTGACTTGAGCTAAGTGGTTTCCCCTAATGGCTTTAATTCAGCAACTCCCACACTTGGCAACAAGTCAGATCCCTGGAAGTGTCTGTTAAAAACAGAGATGCCAGGCTTCCCTTGCCCCACTCTACAAGGCTCTGGTGCCAAGGTGGGATAAGGAAACTTCTGGATGTTAAGTTTTGTTTGGTAAAGTAGCTATGGAGCTTGAACTAGGCATTTGTTCAAGGCTGGTGCTCTACCACTTGACTCACTTCCAGCTTTTTGCTTGTTAATTGGAGATAAGAGTCTCATGGACTTAATGCTCTAGTTGACTTTGAATTATGATCCTCCTATCTCAATTTGGATCCTCAGATCCTAGCTACTCTGAGTTGCTAGTGTTACAGATGTGAATAACTGGTGCCCAGTGGGAACCTTTGTTTTTTAAAGTCCTCTAGCATAGCACTTTAGGCTTGCCGCCTTTGGACCCTCAGCTCCAACTCCATTTCTGAGGATCATTAGATCTCCATTGCTGATTGAAAAGTGTTTGGGCCTCAGTTGGAGTCAGGGGTCTAGAAGAGGTTCTGAAGATGCTTCTTTCCAGAAAAGGTCATCTGTCTGCACACGCTTTCCTGTAAGCTCTGGTAACTAAGGGATCAGCTTGGTCATACTCGTTTCCTTCTTTATAACATTTCTCTGGCATTTCAAAAATCTGGCTTGTTGTGATTTCCACCTAGGAAGAGAGCTATAAAACTCCTTGTATTTTTGCTTATCACCAGAGCCCACTGGAGAAGGAGGACAAACTTTTGTTTGGTTTTGTTTTTAACACACTGTGTGTGTTCCTTGGCATTCTTCTGGGCAAACACTTGTCATGTGTCATCTTGAGTTATAAAAATAGGTGAGTCACAAGCACTATTGTTCCAATGGCATTTATCAAATTGCTTTTGTTTTTTAAGATTTCTGGCACTCTGGAAATATCACTCCGTGTTCCAATATCATCACGCAGCATATGGGTGTTTTCAGTAAATCTCAGAACATGGTAGTGAGTACCATCCAAGATAGCCAAGGTGATGAGGTGAGTCTATTCTATGAGAAGCAAGACAAGCTGGAACAGATTCTGGTGAAAGTTGGCAAAGTGATGATGAGCAAATGATAGCTTAGGTCCCCAGACTCCTGTGTGGGATGGGCTTGGTAAAGGTCTTTGAGGGACAGGTATCTGACCCCAGTTAAGTAGGTAGGGATAAAAGGCAACTGAAAGGTCCACATGGTAGGAAACTTGGTCATTGTGAGGGTCATTCTGTGACTCGGTTTGCAGGAAGGCAAGTGTGTTTTGCTGTCTGGGATATTATGCTTTTGCTTGACCTCATCTCACCATCTCCTTTTGGTTTTGTTCTCTTTTATCTCTGGCATTGTAGAGGTAGGCATACAGAAGGATCTACAGTGGCCCTACCCCTTACTGAAGGGACATTAGAATAGCTGTAACTTGTATGAAGAAAGGGACAATTTGAGAATGAATGGATCCTGTAGTCTCCACCCTCTACTTACTCAGAACCCACTTGTTCAAAAGCTTGTTATGCATTAGTTATACTTACACAGTATAATTTGGTCACAAATTGTACAACACCATAGGATTAGTCTCTGTAAGTCTTCCTTCTGCTCAGCCTATCTGGGAGATACTGATATTTGAGTTTGCATCTGAAGAGGCTAGCAGGCTGATTTGCTTAAATAGATTAAATCTACATACATACACTCCACATGTATATATATAATCTCTCAATTGACAGAGTGTATTTCAATACTCCAAAAGAAACTTCCATCTCTTGTTTCTCTTAAGCCTTATGCAGTATATGTTAAACAAATACTTAGATGAAGTATTACTGCCTAGTAATTCTATAACATAATCATTACCATGTAGACTAAAACCTAATCATTTTGTGTCCTTAGACAATTTTTTATATGTAAGGTTCTCATATGATGGGGATTTGTTAGAGAGTTAGAGAAAGAGTAAGAATAGACCAGTTATTCTGGGTAACTTTACTTGTGGAAGGAGTGTTTGTTGGATTGACATTTTCAGGGCCAACTTGATGTGTCTCTTGGCACTTGGATCCAGGTTAACAATTGTAATCAAGGCTGATGTGATAAAAAGCAATCTAGCAAGTGTAAAGGGTACAGATATTCCCCTCCATACTGGGAAACCCTTGCTCCCTTTGTATCCGGAGTCAGCTGGTGATGGTGAGAGGTGTAAAGGACAGTCTGGAGTCCCTATAACTCTCAGGAAAAAAAGCACCTTGTAGATGTTGTGGACCCAGGCATAAGGACACTAGAGAGAGCAGCAGGGAGGGTCATTTCCTGGTGCTCTCAGCCTGCCTGGGAGATGCATCTTAAGAGGCCAGCAAGTTCTCTTCCCTCTTCTAGCTACTGGCTGATTTGCTTAAATAAGTGACACATTATTCCCCATCACAGATGCCAAGTGGGAGGCAGCTGGGACAAATTAGTGACAGTTACTTAGGACATCCTAATGCTGGGAAATCTTCGCCTTTGCAGTAATGCCGAGATTTTTAATTCCTTGTGAATGGTGTGTAGATGCTACCTGAAAGGACTTTGGTTTTCCCTTCCTGCCATGATGGCTTTTAGTGACTTAGAGCTCTCTAGCCAGCTCTGATAGAGGCTCAGCATTCACAGATACACAGGGCCAAAATGAACGGGATTAATCCTGCTGTTTATGAATGAAGAGATCCCTCCTCTCTTTTCTGGTCACACCCCTTCCCTTTGCAGCTTTTTGAGAATGAGGTCAGGGCCAGGATCTAACTGCTTATGTCTCAGAAATAGCAGCACAGTTCCAAATTAATCTAAAGCGATTTGTTTTGCTGTCTTCTTCAGTTAACAGAGGAAAAAGCAAAAGTCTGCTTGTGTGTGTGTGTGTGTGTGTGTGTGTGTGTGTGTGTGTGTGTACCTTTGCAAGAAACATATGAATGAATATGGGTGAGGAGAGAAATGGAGAATGAGCCAGTCAGAGGGATTCTACTGGGTAGCTAGCTGGTAATGGCTGACAGAATACATGAATTGCCTTGGATTCAATTGGATCATGTTTTGGATTATAATGCAAAATGGAAGGATAAAAGAAACCCCAGTGGTGCATTGTTATAATACTATTTTTTCAAAGGAGATTTTAGCAATTGCTGTGTAGCTGCACATTCCTTACACTGTACATTTGTTAGACTATTATTGTCTGTACTGTGTGACTTGCCATCCCTGTCTAGTAATTCTGCCATGCACTAAATGAATGTCCCAAGCTGACTTGATTTCGTTGTCCATCAGCCACGTTGGCATACACATGTGAAAGATAGATGTGTGACTTCCTTCTGTGTTGCACACATATTCAGACATACAGAGAGAAAGAGGAGAGGAGAGAATGAGAGAGTGAGAGAAAGAAAGAGAGAGAAAGAGAAAGAGCAGAGACAAAAGAGACAGGCACAGATGCAGATTGACATGCCTAGTCTTTACATAAGTTGAGATTCACCTCTAACCATTACCAATGTCAGCAGGATGTCAGTATGTGGCTATTCCAGAGACTGAAACTTCTAAGGCTTTCCACCTGCAGCCTCTCTCGGATATTAACATATTTAAAGGGTATTTGTTGACTGGTAGGCAGGCATTGTACGCTCTGGTGCTGTTTATTTTCCGTTTCCAACTCCCATTATTGACTGGAACCTTGTTTTTATTCTGGACTGTCCTTTATTTGCATTCATAGTCTCCTCTGTGAAAGCATTAAATAAACACATTAGTACCTTGAATGGGAAGAGAAGTGTCAGTTATCAGGCTAATCCGCTACATATTCATTAGATGGACTTTGGAGTGACAGGTATCCGTTGAAGGTGATGCTCAAATTGTCATTCATGTCAAAGGTGATTCGTTTTGAATGGGGAGTGTAAAGTAGTAGATGGGTTGCCATATAACTGGCTGAATGTTGTCTAATTTGGCACCTAAGTTGCTTTTACTAAACAATTAAGAACTATTATGACTCAATATATGATTTTTAATATGTAGTACATATGCAATGAATGTATCTGTATCTTACATATCAATCTAAATCTATCATTTGTCATCTATAATTATCTATTGGACATTTATACATATTTGTTTGTACAAGCAAATATGTAATTTTCAACTGGATATTTCCTGTATTGAGACAGAAAGTAGATTAGTGATCGTTGGGAGATGGACAAGTCTAATTTAACGACATGAGGGGTATTAGTGGGATGATAAAAATGATCTGAAATGATTATGATTATGGTCACACAATTTGGTAAATTTGCTAAAAGTCATTGAAGAAGTATATGCTTAAAATGAGTGATTTATTTTTATAGTATAGTAATTATCACTCCAGAAAGCTATTAACAATTAATATTCTTGTACTTTAGTCCCTTTAGGTGCTAAGTTATATGTAATATGAGGAATAACATTACCTTGAATTTTCACCTGGTCTTTCTCCCCATGAAATTTACTGATGTCAGCTACAAAGATTCTAGACCTTGATAGAACAGGGCCAGACAAAAACCCAGTGCCATAAGATGTAAAAGTCTTTTCTGACCCCTATTGGCAAAGAAAGAGGTTGCTGCCCATTGCCAGGTAAAGGAGTCCGCTTCAAGGTTCTCTGTGAGGCAGTAATGGCACAACATTTCAAGCGAGGCAAAGTTCATGCAAAGTTCAAAGCAAAATTCAACCTTCAGAACTGCTGCTGTATATCAAAAAATACAAACACCTGCTGCTCACCTCTTAAGTGATGGCATTCTCTCTTCTTTTGCAGGTTGTCTTAGTCTTTGCTCTCAGCATTGGTGCACTTGTAATATACTTCATAGATTCATCAAAGTAAGTATTCAAATGGGCTGTCTTGCTCTTTTTTTTCCTGAAACAATTGTGACCTTTCACATTGGTGAATTTATTTACCTGAATACCAACCCGAGGGCCGAAGGGCATCATTGCAAGGAAGGCAGGTCTGATCCATGCCCATTTTCAGAGTGGGAAAGAAAGGAAATGCTCCAGGGGAAGGCTATTGCTGGGTGTTATTTATTTTTAAATAGCTCTTTCCAGAGGAAGCATTTATGCTGAAGATGTCATGAAGCTAAGAGGAAATTTAAACCTCTGGGAGGGCAATAGATGAGAGTCTGAGCCATTCTGGTTGTGTTTGTAGGATCCCTTTCTCCTCGGGCTTTCCTGTGTTTTGATCTTATTGGAGGATAACTTAGAAAGCATGGTGCCAGTATATCACTTGCCACCTGAATATTCAACCAAAGCATCCCTCACTGAAACTTCTTGACTTGTGAAACTAAGGAGATAGGACAAGGAGTTCATGACGACTCTCAAAGGTGGGGCGAATTCTCCCATAGGCCATGAGAGGACTCCTAGAATGGAAACTAGGGTACACCCCTAGGTGTAGTTGAGAGAAATGGTGCTCCAGGGTGAGCCTAGGACACAGAGGGGAAGACTTTGCCAGAGGCTGAAGAGAGTACCCACTAGGGCTGCTAGTTGGTTCTGTCTGCCTTGGCTCCCGCAACTGCTCCCCTGTGTGCATCTTTAACTTCAACTCTCCTGGGAAATTTGACTTGCTTTTCTGTTCTGATATAAAGTTGACAACCCAGGCCAAGGACAGTGGCTTTGAACTTGCTGCATTCTTATCCTGTGCGTGTTTTTTTTTTAACTCCTTTAACTTTATCCCTGGTACACATTACTAGATCTTTGATCCTAAGAAACCAGCCTGGTGTCCCTGTTGGCTTGAGACTATGGGGTTTCCGAGTGTTGGGTTTAGTGTTCTTTCCCTGTGGCTCAGAATGGTGGTCATTTCACGCATCCCTAAACACTGAATTTCTCAAAGTCCTCTGAGAATTGTATGCAATTGAGAGCAGATTCAAAAACGTCGGGTCAGGGAAATAAAGAAAACATCATCAACTCCAATCGCCATTCTCTGAGAGTCATCTAAAACTGAGGCTGTTGGAATTCCTGTGGCCCCCTCTCATATGGAGAGTCCTTTAAACACTCCCAGGGCATGAAATTTCACGTGCTTCCTCCATCAGAAATTCCTAACCAAGAAGGAGAAGAGTGCTTCTAAGTTTGGGAGATCTCAATTGATGTGTCAGTGAAGGTAAGCTCTGTTTTTGACATTTTTCTGGACTGTATCAGAATTGAACTAAAGATCTTCTGAAGACTCTGGTCTCATTTCTTCACTCTCTCTCTAGGGGTGTTCTCAACATGTTGTGGGGCGCATACGCTGTCGACGCTCAGGCTGGGGGCTCAGGAAAGAGGATTGGACATTTACTCTGTATACCCTAGAGAAAGTACACCCCCATGTGGAGGTGAGCGTGCTGGCCCTTTAAAAGGACAGATGCCCCTGCCTCACCTTCCTCCCTTTTCAACTGTTTGTATTAATTTTTTTTTGGAAATAAAATTCTGCTAGATGGGTTGGCATGGTGTCCTTATTTTAAAAAAGAAGAGAAGTGCTGTCTACTAGTAGGTGATCTTCGGCTGTGTGCATTCTGGCATTCCTGTCTCCAGGGGAGAGGGTGGGAAAGCATGAAATTCCCACAGTAGACACACTGCTCTACACCTTGCTTACCCCCATGTCCTGTGAATTTAATTCTGGTGCCGAGAAGCCTACAGAAGCTGACATTTGCTTTCCAATTCTGTTTTTATTTTTTTAAATGGACTTGCAAGGAGGCTATAGGCAGGCTGGCTTTTAATCCTCTTTTTAGGCTCCCTTTACCATGCCAAAAAAGTGAGCATAAAACTGAGACAATCCTCATTCTCCCTAATGTCCACAGAGGCTTGTCTTAACTTCAGTCTTTCTTCTGAGTCATGGAACTGTGTGGTTTACAGTAGTAAGACTGTGACTATAAGAAGACTTGGTATTTATATAGCTCTGTCTGCTCATCACTTGTACCACTTCATTTGGTCCCCAGATTGTCTTTCAGGGTTCTGATCCATGAGAGCTCAACCAACAGTCATATTGAACAAATCTTCCATCTTCCTGAAGAAGGCTAGCAATCATACTCTGTTTAAGTGGGAGAATTAAGGTAGACTCTGTTAAGCCACCATTATTGGTAGCCCACGGGTTTCTATGTCTAAAACCACATGAAGCCTATTGAATAGGTCATAATCAAGCTTAGTAAGCAAGATACAATGAAATTTTATCCACATGACAATGCAGATAGAAGATAAGAAAGTAGGATATAAATTCTTAAAATTCATTTCTTTTAAGATTTACAACTCTTACCAGTTTAACAGACAAGTTGGCTGGCCATTGGGGCATCTTGGAGAACAGTTCTGACTCCCAGGAACTCTACCAAGTCATCAATCTGGAGAAAAGGAGCTCACAATCTTGAGATGAATTTCAATTAATATTCCCTCCATCCAAATAGATAAACCAGAAATAAACCTGATTAGATTGATGATATTGAAGAAAGGGCTTATCTCTGTGATTTAAACAGAGCTGGCCTCACTAAAATCATAGCCATTTTGTAGTTGTATGTACAAGCTCAAGATTGGAGGCGTTCTGCACCCTGCTCATTGAAACGTGTGTAAAGCAGGCTGTAATGGCCAGTCCTGCCAGCCCAGCTTAGCTCAGGGCAACCCCGGTAGGCTGCACACGTAGACAGAAGACTCAGATCCCACTTCTGTTTGTCAGATGGGGAAGGACATTTAGCTATGTGGCAGATAATTAATTAGCTAAATAATTGATCCTTGATGATCTTTTTGCCATTGAGAACTCAGTTCACTATCAAGGCATAGGATGGAGGATAAGTCCTTTCCAAAGCTGTCTTCTTTTGTGTGTCTTTTCTTTTGAGCTCTTAGAATGAGACAGAACTCTGAGTGGGTCTTCCTCACTGAAGGATCTGGGAAGTCCCCCTTTGAGTCTTAATTTTCCTCTGGAGATGACTACAAAAGAACCATTTGTGAAGCCTCAAGTGATTACTCTCTAGCTAAGGCAGATGGCCCTGAGATTTCCTGGAGTTGAGAGACAAAGAGAATTACATTCAAGTGTGCTGAAACGATACTTCATCACCCCAGTGGATGATGTCTGCAAAGACCCAGACAAGGGGAGATATTCTAGAAAGGCTTTGGGTAGACATAAGTATCAGTGCCTCCACCAATGTGGAGACACATGACCCACGTGCCCTCACAGGGAGCTGTCCAGTATGTCCTCCACTTAGCCACTCAATGCACATACCGTCCAAAGGAATTTTCTTTTCCATTCTCTTCAAAAGGCCCTCCTGCCCAAGTTCTGTCACACATCACTGCAGCCTCTAATTCTGTCATTTTTCTGATGCCTCCACAGGCACCTTTTCTCCCACACACTCTGGCTGGTGCCTGTGAAGCAAAGATTTAAAATAAAACAACAACAACAGCAACAAAAACCTCTGTATGACCCCATCAAAAGTGCCCTGCAATGCAAGTGAGTGCCAGTGTTACTGACACTGGTTCCCCGGGACATAAGAACAATAATTCTTACCTAATAGCTATGGTTAGAAAAAGGAAAGGAAAAGATCTGGGGATATCAGGGTGAGGGCAGGATTCAAGGGTTGTGTAATGCGGCAGTTCCTTTTTTTTTTTTTTAATTTCAAGTGAAAGTTGGAACAGGCAGTGGCTGGAGCTCGGCATATTTGCATTTTTTTCCAGGGGCATTCTGGGAAAGGATGACTCATATCTGTGAAGATATTTATTCATTTGATTCATGTTTAAATGCTGCTATTTCTTAGACTGCCCTTACGTGGATTATGAATATTTAATGCTGCATACATGACAAGCGAAGGTCAAGTCCTGCTCATTGGTGACTTCAAAGCAGGTTCTTGTCTCTCTGAGACATGCTCCCTGCTGTTAGCAAAGGAAAGCTGAAAGGTTATGCATTGTTAAAATTTCCCTTAATGACTTTATCTGCTCCAAAATGGTTGGTACACAGTAAGGGCGCCAGCTGGTCTTGCCAGCCTCTGCTCTTGACTTCTGATTTCTGCACTACTGTTTGGAGAATATGGACATTAGAAAGGAAGAGGAGCTCACAGCGCAAATTTTGTAGAGCATCGAATCCAAGCGTTCCATTGCCCGGTATTATGAATGGAAATTTTGTCTCCTCAGTCTTTTAGGCTTTTGCTTTTGTATTCATTCACTCATTCATTCATATGAATTCATTCACTTTATTTGTTCATTCAAGACATCTTGAGTGTGATAATGTTGAGTACTTTCTAATAACTAAAATTTCTTATGGCTAAGTAAGGTTAAGGAAAATGCTAAGGTTGCAATACAAGTTGTCCAGATTGATTTTAGTTTCTACAATAACACTGACACCATTGTTGTAATGAGAATGCCCAGAACTTTAATGGGACCAAGTAGTTACTTCACCATTTTATCTGTCTATCTATCCATTTTATCTATCTACTTTACCTAACTTTTCATGCCTCAGCTGAGAAATTATCTTTCAAAAAAGGAAGAGGGGATAGGTGGTCAAAGCAACTAGCAGTTGCTAGCGATGTGCCATGTTTGAGTTACAGTGCTAGGCACTTTAAAATAATTGACCTGTGCAGCTTTAGTGGATTCTCTTTACCACCTCCTCACATCACTATTGCCATCTAGATGAGAAGTCTGAAGCTGCAAATGTTGCTCCAAACCATATAGTTCATAAGTGGAAGAACCAGCATCTGAGTCAGCCTCACTCATTTGAAAACTGTATCTCTCCCAAGGCCAAGAAGTAAAATTCCAGATTGGGGCAAGTAACCAAAAGGGTTTTAGTGCAATTCTGCAAGAATTGGAAGTGGTGTCTCCTTGGCCTGCCAAGTCTTCTGTCTTATTTTTTCTTTTGTTCTCCATGGCCTCATTCTTGCCCT